AAACCTGTACATTGGGGGCACTGTTGTACTCGGGAGATGCTGAAAACATATTGGGGTGTTCTTTGTCAGTAACACATAGCAGGAACTGAGAATCCATGCCTAAAGTACAATGTGAGAGAAAGATAACACAAATAAATGACTACCCAAAAGGTTGACAAAGACTGGTGGTAGAATTAGCGCATGGAAAGTGTTAAAATACCACAATTTGAAATACACTAGGGTGTCTACTTTTCAAAATAATATGGTTTGATGGGGTAAATTACATTGTTCGGCTTCAAATGTCCCAAATATGACATGGGTGCATGATGACCTGCTAATAAAATTCCAAGTTGGCAAACTGGAATACGCACCCTCCAAATACGGTCTTTTAGCCCTCAGAGAATCCGAACCACTTATACATGGGGGGTATCACTGTACTCAGTAGCTGTTGCTGAATACATATTGGGGTGCTTTTTGGCAGTAACCCTTAAAGTTCTCCATACACGTATTTTTAAATTGCTATGTATATATAAAAAAAATCACCAATTTTATGGTTGCAAGAAAAGAGTCAAGATACCCCGGGTTTCATACCTTAGGTTGTCTTCTTTTAAAAAAAGATATACATGTGAAGGGTTATTCAGGGATTCCTGACAGATTTCGGTGTTACAATACAACTTCATTTTGAAAGAAAAAAAAAATGGTTTGGAAATAGCAAAGCGCTACTTGTACTTATTGCCCTATAACTTTCCAAAACAAGCTAAGAACATGTTAACATTGCTCATTTCTAAACTCAGGCCAAAATTTAGAAAGTATTTAGCATGGGTGTTTTTTGGCGAAAAAGATTTTGGGGATCAAAGTTCAAAAAAAAAGTGTGTTTTTTAAAAAAAAATTTCATCATATTTTATAATTTTTTATAGTAAATTATATGATATGATGAAAATAATGGTATCTTTAGAAAGACCATTTAATGGCGAGAAAAACTGTATATAATATGTGCAGGTACAGTAAATGAGTAAGAAGAAAATTACAGCTAAACACAAACACCGCAGAAATGTAAAAAGAGCCCTGGTCATTAACGGTAAAAAAATTTGAAAACCGGTCTGGTCACTTAGGGGTTAATCAATTGATACCGCTGATAATTGGGTGGCCCGGAGGGTCAGTTAGAACCTTATGGATCTTGGGCAGAAAATAAAAAAACTGGCACTTTACAAAAAGGATTAAAAATAAAATGAAATTCACCTTTGTTTATTACTCCACCATCTAGACCTGTCATTAATAGTTTCCTCTGTTCCTGCAAAAACGTGAAAGTAGGATTTTTGTCCAAAATGTTATTGGTATTGTAAGCTTCTTTCATACAATAGGACTTGTTCATAATAACTATACCAACTCCCTTATCCACCTCTAATCACTAAATCATTATTGTCAGTTACGTTTTTTAGAACGTTTCTCTCCTTTCTTTTGATAGATTTGGTTTAAAATTGGTATCTCCTACTTTTTCTAAATCATAGTGGACTAACTCATTAAAAACACCGAAGTATTTCCTCTTAGAAAAACAATGAAGAAGAAAAAAAAAAGATTTTTGTTTCAAATTGTTTTTTTTCCTGCCATAGTGTCATTACTTAAAGGTTTCAATATGCTTACTTTTGTCTTTATTCTCAAAAAGTCTCTTAAAGGTTAATTTTTTTTATGGTTATATTTTTATTATTTGTATTGTGAACTCTTTCATGATAATTAAGGAAGCCTTTGTGAGACAAACATTTCCCACATTCAGAACATGAAAATGGTTTCTCTCCTGTGTGAATGCGGAGATGTGACTTAAGAGTTGACATTTGAGTGAAACATTTCCCACACTCAGAGCAGGAGAAGGGTTTCTTTACAGGACGAATCCATACATGGGCAATAAGCTCTGTATATGTACAAAACGTTTTCCTACACTCAGAGCAAGAGGAAAGGTTTCTCTCCACTATGTATCCGTTCATGGACAATAAGATTTGTTTTTCTAGTGAAACATTTCCCACACTCAGAGCAGGAGAAAGGTTTCTCTCCACTATGAGTCCGTTTATGGGAAACAAGAGTTGATTTATGACGGAAACATTTCCCACACTCAGAGCAGGAGAAAGGTTTCTCTCCACTATGAATCTGTTTATGGGCAACAAGATTTGATTTATCACTGAAACATTTCCCACACTCGGAGCAGGAGAAAGGTTTCTCTCCACTATGAATCCGTTTATGGGCAATAAGCTTGGATTTTTCACAGAAACATTTCCCACACTCCGAGCAGGAGAAAGGTTTCTCTCCACTATGAATCCGTTCATGGGCAACAAGAGTTGATTTAAGAGTGAAACATTTCCCACATTCAGAACATGAAAATGGCTTAATTCCGGTGTGAATCCTGAGATGTGCATTAAAGTTGTTTTTTTGAGTGAAACATTTCCCACACTCAGAGCAGGAGAAAAGTTTCTCTCCACTATGAATCCGTTCATGGGCAACAAGGGTTGATTTAAGAGTGAAACATTTCCCACATTCAGAACATGAAAATGGCTTAATTCCTGTGTGAACACTGAGATGTGCATTCAAGTTGTATCTTTGAGTGAAACATTTCCCGCATTCAGAACATGAAAATTCTTTTTCTCCTGTGTGGCTCCTAAAATGAAGCTTAAGAGCGGTAACGGTTTGAAAGCATTTCTCACATTCAGAACAAGAATGTTTTTGCTTTTCTCCACTGTGGATGAAATGACATTTGGGAAGAGATTTGGTCTGAATATGTTTTTCAAGTTCAATACGGGAACGTGCTTTAGATCCTTGGCGAGTATTGCAAAATCCAATAATGTGTGATTTTGATTGAAAGCACCGATGTCCCATGAAGTTTGTTTTACAGGTGAATGTTTCTCCACATTCAGAACAAGTCACTTTCTTCCCTTTACGGAATCTCTGATATTTTATTTGATTTAAATTTGTGAGTGAAACTTTTGTACCATCATAGTTATTGGCATCTACTTTGTATTGTCTCACAGGCTCACAAGCAGAGGTTTGAATGTCCAGATTACCAAGATTTCCTTCTTCACATGAGACTGGATCCTCCGTAATAGGAGTATATGGACATTCTGTCTGCGTAGGCTCTGTGGAAGTATAAATTTCAGTTTCTGTGAGATTCCTTTCTTCACATGGGACTAGATCTTCCTCAATATAAGTAGATGGATATTCTGAAGGTTCTGTGGGTGTAATAATGCCAGTGTCTGTGAGATTTCCTTTTTTACACGAAGCTGAATCCTCCGTGATAGACGTAGATGGATATTCACATAAAGCCAATTCCTCCTTAATATGTGTAGATGGACACGGTGTCAGCTCTGAGGGTCTATATATGTCAGTTTCTGTGAGATTTCCTTCTTCACATGAGACTGGATCTTCCTTAATACGAGTAGATGGATATTCTGTCTGTTCTGTGAGTGTATACATGTCAGTGTGTGTGAGATTCTCTTCTTCACATGAGGTTGGTTCCTCCTTAATATGAGTAGATGGATATTCCGTGTTTACTGTGGATTTTGTTTGGGAACATTCTTTCAGTGAGTAAATCTCTCCATCTGGTAGTTTTCTTTCTTCATATAAAGCGGTTTCAGATTTCACAGATTCACTTGGTCTCTTACTTAATTCATTAAATGTCACAGAATTTCCTCCCTGATCATCTACGACTCTACCTTCAGTCACACAATTTGCTGACAGAACATGGATGGGTAAATCATCCGTTTCACTTGTGTTTAGAGAGCCATCTGCTGGAAAGAAAAGAAATAGAATTATAAACCTTCCTTTTACCTCTCTCACATTGTCAGTACTGTAAATACACTACAAGGTAAATGATCCAGGATGTGATGGTAAAATATTGGTGTTTCAATGTAACTGGGTAAATATATTCACAATCAGAATTTTATCTACAGTCTATGACAGGTGTAGTCACCCTTCCGCACTCCAGATGTTATGGACTACATCTCCCAAAATGATCTTACAGCTATAATGCTTTACTTTGTCTGAGATGAATAACTAACAATACAAGAAAACAAAACAAGTGACTATATTTTGTTTAAATCTGAGGATATGTCCGTAGTGTCAAGACACATGAAGAGTAAGATGCATCGTTAATCACTGTGCCCTTTTGAGTCAAATAACGTATCTATGTCTATAAATCTCTCACCACGGGTTTCTTTAATAGGGTTTCCGATGGATACAATCTATCTTCACTCACCATGGGTCAGTGTTTATTACTTGATATAAATTTTGTAACAGTGCTCTGTGTAAAAAAAGACGTTTAATAGTATGTGTCAGTCCAAAATGAATAGGCCGCTACAACACTATTGTGGGTATCACCCCCCCTCAATAAGGCACGCAGAACAAAAAATAAAAAGATACAGCTCCAGCCTCTAATGCGGAACACTACACAAATATGTAAATACAACAAATAGGAAATGTGAGAAAATAGTCCCCAAGAAAAAAGGAACACTGAGACTAAATCTCAAACAGTTACCTCCACTAGTAATTTCATTCTTCCTTGTAGTACTAGAATTAAAAACTGATATAGTCTTTATTAGCTTAAAGTAGACCACATCAGACATGCATAGATAAATAAGGTAAATATGTGGGCGAGGCCTGACACTCAAGGCGGCCGGACAAGCTTTGTAGTAGCTCCGGCTCTCTAACTATTTTAGGGCTTGATCGCTTCTGAGTGACGCAGAAATCACCTTACCTCGCCAGCAGACTGACAGTATACTTACCGGTACCGTTTGCTGTACAAATCAACAAGGTCCGATGGGCTATTATCTCGACTCTGATCTGCGGCCTACAGTGCCCGGGGACTGGGGGAAGCAGACGATCTCCCGGTCAGTACAATTGGCAAAAGCTTCTCAATAGCCCCGTTCCCCCCCCGTGGGCCGGTGAGGGATATCCCGACCCCCGCTGGAGTGCAGACCTGCTTGCAGTCATACCATCAAACGGGGCCCGCAAAGCTAATACCCTACCACATGCACACCAAGATGGCCGCCAGAAAGAGGCCTGCCACGGAACAACCACTCGCAACAGGGGCAAAGAATGAGGAACGTCTGGCCAAAACCTTCGGGAGAATCTGGATGAAATTCTGGCACTCAATCGAACTTCGAGCAGCAACTCGTCCTGTTAAAGCAGGGGCCCAGACTGGCCCAACAAGAGACCAAGTGAAGGCATGGCCTGCTGAGAGAAGCCTAGCAGTCTTGGAGCTGACATTGCAGAAGAGGAGGAAGCTTCTGGGAAAGGCATATGCCCGCCAAGAGCCCGATCCCGAGGCGGCCCGTCATTGTCCTAGATTGTAGCCTAAAAAGTGGCATCCCCTTAAACGCTGCCTACCTGCTCTGAAGACTGACTCCTATCCTGATGGAAAGCATTCTAGCAGAGGATTCCAAGCGAAGGGTTGGATCACAGTCACTGGCTGAACCTGTGAGTTTGCAACACTAGACTATGCAGGAGCAAGGGTCTGGTGGGGAACCGCGCTATGGGACTCTAGTTTCTACTCACTTTGGGGCAGATATTGTGGGCATGGGCTAAATCAGTATCATCTCCCTATTATCTGTGGTCCAAAGGGCATTGGCTGAACCACTTTACTATGAGGGAGCGTTACTTACCTCGACATGTTTCATATATGCCTCTATACATTTTATATTCTTTTCCATTCTCTGACTGACCTAATAGAATTGTGAATTTACTTATCTACTATTTGCATAATGCATGATTATTACTCGTTTCATATAATTATCAAAAATAGAAAAGAAAAAGGGCAGCTCAACTTGACATAACACTGTTGTAACCATATGTCCTTTATCCTTATGCAAACATATAATTTGCCAATGCCTACTCGTGTACAAGCTAATGCACATCAAAGATAAAGAATGTCAAAATAAATAAATAAGGTAAATAAAAAAAATCCCTCTATACTATTTACTATGTTTTTATGTAGTTGTTCACTTTGTATACAATATATGGGGGTGGGAGGGGAGGAGTGACCACTAAAGGGGGTGGGGGAAGAGGAGAGACCACTAAAGGGGGGAGAGAGGAGAGACCACTAAAGGAGGGGAGAGACCACCAAAGGGGGCTAGCACTAAAGGGAAGACCACTAAAGTGGGGAGCAGAGAACCACTAAGGGGGGAGAGAACCACTAAGGGGGCGGAAGAAGAGACCACTGAGGGGGGGGGAGACCACAAGGGGGGTAGGAGATACCACTAAGGGACAAAGGGCAGGGAAGAGCTCTAAGGACAGAGGGGACAGCTCTAAAGGAGGGGAGGAAAGAGAACACTAAGGGACAGAGGTGTAGGGGAAAACACGAAGGGACAGTGGGGCAGGGGAGTTCACAGGGTGACAAGGGAGAGAACTAATAGACAGAAGGGGATGGGAGAGCACTAAGGGTGTATGTATATCTGTGAGTGTCTGTGTATCTGTGAGTGTCAGTGTGTATAATTGCCATGTTTAATTGCCGTGTTGGCACATTGAGGAAAAAAAGTTGGTTTGTATTGCAGTTTGGCCATTCAGGCTCAAAAATGTTCGCCATCACTGTAATAGACCCATATAAAAGATTCTTAATAAAATAATTAGGAGATTTAAAATAGACTTTATGAAATCGTACTTTACTGCCCTTAAATAATATGGACACCGTAGAACAAGTAAGGGCAAGCTGTTCATATGAAGAAGCCGGAAATTACGTTGCGATACTAGCGCGGTGGAAGGGAAAACCCGGAAGGAGACACCACGAGATTAACGGAGGACGCCACTCTGGGGCTATATAAGCAGAAGATGCAGAGGAGTTTCTAGCACATGAAAAAGATATTTTTGAGGTCGAAACACGTCTGCTTAGAGACTATTTGGTACAAGGTTTGAGATGGCCAGCGGTGAACTTTTTTTTATACATTTCAAGATATAATCCTTTTTAAATTTATCGCTACATTGCATACTTTGGCTTATCTTCCTGTCCATAAGTAATGTTTTCTATGTAATATTATACTTTTGTTATATATATTGTTTCAGTAAATTCATTGTTATACATTGGATAACCTCTAGAACAGCTGTTATTCCGTATAGCCTGTATAGGCAGCCTTTGGGCTTGATATACAGAGCCTGGTCCGGCTCTGCATTGTGTATTCATCTATATCATAAGGAATCTTGCTGATTAGGTCTTTTTAAGTATATATTTGTAGGGTGATCCACTGTGGTGTGTTATTGGTGCTTTTATTATTAATCGATATATGTCTGAGTGTTGGGGGACACTTTGTACCTTAATCAAACATTAGCTATCCTTAGAATTGCCTAGACATTTTCCTTGTGTTTTTCCAAAAGATGTGTTAGCCACAACTCCTTTCACTGCTGCTTATTAAGTTCTCCAAATATTATTTTCGTTCTCCAAATATCTTTTCTTTTTAGTCCAAGTTCTTTGGAATGCTATTTTTGTGAGAATTTTCAGAATTGGGGGAACATTGCTGCCGGCATCGAGAACCTGGAGCACGTTTACTGCCATGGTGGAATGAGTTGTTTGTTTCCCACTGCTTTTGGGACATTTCGTATACTCATTCTCAACCCATTTTTGGAGACATGGACTAAAACATTGCACGCCTGGAACTCGTTGCCAGATCAGATTATAGCCATAATGCGGTAAAACATGCTGTAATTTGGGTGTGTGTTCTCCTATCACGGCGCTAGTTGGACTAACTTTCCAGAGATATATATTGTGAGGGACAATGGTCCATAGAAAAGGGGTTCTGGCTGATGTTTTGTATGCTATGCAGTTTGGACTGTGAGGGCACCAGAGGGAGACGATTGTGTTAGCTGGGGATAATGTAATTAAATCCACAGACGGAGGGGTGCCGGGGATGGAAAACTGTACTGTGCATTGCTTTGTATGGATGTCCCCCTACAGGGAAAGTCAGCACTGTTCTGTATAAATAGCTGTGTACTGTGCATTGCTTTGTATAGATATCCCCCTGCAGGGAAAGTCAGCACTGTTCTGTATAAATAGCTGTGTACTGTGCATTGCTTTGTATGGATGTCCCCCAGCAGGGAAAGTCAGCACTGTTCTGTATAAATAGCTGTGTACTGTGCATTGCTTTGTATGGATGTACCCCTACAGGGAAAGTCAGCACTGTTCTGTATAAATAGCTGTGTACTGTGCATTGCTTTGTATGGATGTCCCCTACAGGGAAAGTCAGCACTGTTCTGAATAAATAGCTGTGTACTGTGCATTGCTTTGTATGGATGTCCCCTGCAGGGAAAGTCAGCACTGTTCTGTATAAATAGCTGTGTACTGTGCATTGCTTTGTATTGATGTCCCCCTACAGGGAAAGTCAGCACTGTTCTGTATAAATAGCTGTGTACTGTGCATTGCTTTGTATTGATGTCCTCCTGTAGGGAAAGTCAGCACTGTTCTGTATAAATAGCTGTGTACTGTGCATTACTTTGTATGGATGCCCCCCGTAGGGAAAGTCAGCACTGTTCTGTATAAATAGCTGTGTACTGTGCAATGCTTTGTATGGATGCACCCCTGCAGGGAAAGTCAGCACTGTTGTGTATAAATAGCTGTGTACTGTGCATTGCTTTGTATGGATGTCCTCCTGTAGGGAAAGTCAGCTGTTCTGTATAAATAGCTGTGTGTACTGTGCATTGCTTTGTGGATGCCCCCAGTGAGGGAAAGTCAACACTGTTCTGTATAAATAGCTGTGTACTGTGCAATGCTTTGTATGGATGCACCCCTGCAGGAAAGTCCAGCACTATTTGTTATAAATAGCTGTACTGTGCATTGCTTTGTATGGATGTCCCCCTGCAGGGAAAGTCAGCACTGTTCTGTATAAATAGCTGTGTACTGTGCATTGCTTTGTATGGATGTCCCCCACAGGGAAAGTCAGCACTGTTCTGTATAAATAGCTGTGTACTGTGCATTGCTTTGTATGGATGTCCCCTGCAGGAAAAGTCAGCACTGTTCTGTATAAATAGCTGTGTACTGTGCATTGCTTTGTATGGATGTCCCCCTGCAGAGAAAGTCAGCACTGTTCTGTATAAATAGCTGTGTACTGTGCATTGTTTGTATGGATGTCCCCCTGCAGGGAAAGTCAGCACTGTTCTGTATAAATAGCTGTGTACTGTGCATTGCTTTGTATGGATGTTCCCTACAGGGAAAGTCAGCACTGTTCTGTATAAATAGCTGTGTACTGTGCATTGCTTTGTATGGATGTCCCCTGCAGGGAAAGTCAGCGCTGTTCTGTATAAATAGCTGTGTACTGTGCATTGCTTTGTATGGATGCCCCCCTGCAGGGAAAGTCAGCACTGTTCTGTATAAATAGCTGTGTACTGTGCATTGTTTGTATGGATGTCCCCCTGCAGGGAGAGATGTACTATTCTGTATAAATAGCTATTAGCCTGTGCATTGCTTTGTATGGATGCCTGCGGGAAAGTCAGCACTGTTCTGTATAAATAGCTGTGTACTGTGCATTGCTTTGTATGGATGTCCCCTGCAGGAAGAGTGCTTACTGTTGCAATATAAATAGCTGTGTACTGTGCATTGCTTTGTATGGATGTCCCCTGCAGGGAAAGTCAGCACTGTTCTGTATAAATAGCTGTGTACTGTGCATTGCTTTGTATGGATGTCCCCTGCAGGGAAAGTCAGCACTGTTCTGTATAAATAGCTGTGTACTGTGCATTGCTTTGTATGGATGTCCCCTGCAGGGAAAGTCAGCACTGTTCTGTATAAATAGCTGTGTGCTGTGCATTGCTTTGTATGGATGTCCCCCTGCAGGGAAAGTCAGCACTGTTCTGTATAAACACCTGTGTGCTGTGCATTAAAATAATTCTACCCCCTGCATTCCCATTTGTCTAATGTATTGTGGAAAAGCTGTAGTCTCTGCTTTACAAGGGAGAAGGTCTGATCTATAATCATTGCAGCCTGGTTCGATGGAAGAGGCCCTCAGAGACCCCAGTCAAGCATCAGCAACTGGTTCTAAAGAGCTCCTGAGCACGAATAGCAGCTAGGAAGTTGAACTGGTGGCGTACAGAAGCTCTGTCACATTTAGTTTTAGAGGTGGGATGGCTACCTAAGTATTGTGCAAACATCCAAACTACCACCCCTGCACATCGTCTGGAACTTAAGGAGAGGGACAAAGCTAGCACCAATGCAGTGTTGATAATGAGGGGGGAGGGACCTACTGTCCTACCCCCCCTCCGGCCCCCACCCCTGGGCGGCGGATGGGGGCCATAAAGATAATGAGGGGGGAAACCTACTGTCCACCCCCCTCCGGCCCCCACCCGGGTAGGTCCCCCCCCACCCATTATCATTATGACCCCAACCCGCCGTCCAGGGGTGGGGGCCCGGAGGGGGGGGGTGGGCAGTAGGTCCCCCCCCCCATTATCATTATGACCCCCACCCACCGCGCAGGGGTGGAGGCCAATATTTTTTTCCTTTTTACAGTGAGCAGCCACAGGTATAGCGAGTAGGGGCATATTATTTACTAATACTAAGTAACCTTTACTTAGTATTAGTAAATGTGGCTGAAAGATCACTTTAGGTCTTTCAGCCTTTTAGTAGATAGCTCCCTGATACTGTGGGAATTAGAGAGTTATCTACTAAGCGGCTGCAAGATGCAGCCACAGCAGGAATAGGATAGGAGTTTCATTCATTCGAATGAAATTGCGATCCGAATAAAGTGCCGAATTGCGTTCTAAAACAAACGAACATACTGTTCTCATTCAGTTAGAACGCAATTCGGCAGTTTCGTGTAAAGAGACAGGAAGCATCGCGGGAATACAGAGGAAAAGTGAGAATTGTGGGAAAATTGCTCTGACCAGCGGAAATGAAGCACACTTTGCTCCTCCGCTGGTCAGAAATGGTCAAGCGGAGGAATCCCCCATAAGGCAAAGAGTCCATACATTGTCTTATGATTTTAAAGAAAACTAAAGAAGACAGGAAGAAAAGAAGAACAGATCCTGAGAGAGGGGGAGAAGAGGAAGAGATTGAGAAAAGGTAAGTTCGGCATGACAGTGCAGCTTTAATTTAAACATTCTGAACATTTTCAAGCTAGGAAACTGACCTGGTGGAGGTACTCAGTCGGGAAAACGAGAGCAACGTCACATACATGCAATCAGGCTCCGATTTAAAATCAATAATACAAAAATACAACAAACTGACACTGTACATTGATCTCACGCTATACTGGGGTTTGATTACAATACTGACCTCATACTGTACACTTGAAGCTAGGGATTCAATTACATATATAGTAATAACACAAGCTGTGTATATTAAAAGTGCTTCCTCTTACCCAGTGAGCAGAGAGGCTGGTTAGTGTCCATCATTAAGTCATTGTAAGGTTCCTTGTGTCCTTCTAAATACTTCCACACCTACAAGGAAAAGTAACAGTGACATCCTCACACCTAACAGGATCCTGGCACACACAATGATACAGTCACCATCCAGACACATCCTCACACCTAACAGGAACCTGGCACACACAATGATACAGTCACCATCCAGTCACATCCTCACACCTAACAGGAACCTGGCACGCACAATGATGCAGTCACTATCCAGACACATCCTCACACCTAACAGGAACCTGGCACACACAATGATACAGTCACCATCCAGACACATCCTCACACCTAACAGGAACCTGGCACACACAATGATACAGTCACCATCCAGCCACATCCTCACACCTAACAGGAACCTGGCACACACAATGATACAGTCACCATCCAGACACATCCTCACACCTAACAGGAACCTGGCACACACAATGATACAGTCACCATCCAGACACATCCTCACACCTAACAGGAACCTGGCACACACCTTGATACAGTCACCATCCAGACACATCCTCACACCTAACAGGAACCTGGCACATACAATGATACAGTCACCATCCAGACACATCCTCACACCTAACAGGAACCTGGCAGACACAATGATACATCCCTTGGTTTTACTCTATGGTGTCCCATTCCCAGCAGCCTCACCTCTCCAGTCAGCAGGTGGATGATCTGATTGGTCAGTTTCAGGACCTTCTGGTCATTGTTTCTCTCATGTATCAGTGAGTGAGGTAGAGGCACCGTGCTGGCGCTCTGGGTCCTGCTGGATCCATCTGACGCACGAGGGATTCTGCCCTGTATTATGGACTCACCAGATCTCTTCATAACAATGTAATCCTATATAGAGAGAGGCATTCTAATCAATATTAATGTACTTAGGGAAGCACCTAATAAAAATACACATCTCTCAGTAAAGGATATCTATGACTTTCATATTCCATCTGTCTATAAAGGACAATATGCAAATGAAGTATCCCAGCGACTATCTTACAAAGCCGGTCACTACATAGGCTACATAGATCATATACACACGGTAAAAGGGTTGGCCTTTTCAATTCAAATAAATTCTGTTTTGTCTCGGTGCCCCAACAACACTATTCCATAATCCTTTGTCTCTTGAAGTGCCAGCTGCCTTTTTCCATATCCTTCTGCACACTGAGCTCTCTGTGCAGTCTGGTTCACAATGACCCATTCACTATCCGCCTCTGCCCTTCCTGACGAACTCAATGTCACTCAGTCCTAGTCCTATGTATGTTAGATGAAAACAATGACTGACAGAAACACATCCTCATGGTGTAACCGTGTGTGGTTCCCCTATTTACCACTATAATGTCTTAAAGCATAGAACTTAGTAGGGCTAACCATACAGATATCTTAGCCATAATTTTATATAGTGTAAGAGATCCTCTATTTAACATATAGAAATAATTGAGAATACAATATAAAATAAGGATTGTCTTGGAAGCAAGATTGTCTTTTGGATATTTATTATATAAAAATATAAAATCCATTATAGCAGAGTTTATAAGATTAAATTACATGCTTGCAAATATCATTAATAGGTTAACATACCCTTCTGAACATGTCATCATGTCAGCCTCTCTGTCATTTTAAGATGGAGCAGCGTCCGTCTCCAAGTCTCTCCTCTGTGTCTTAACATTTAAAAGTACACCTATTTATACCTTAGGTGTCTCCATTTTAGGGTTACCGTAGTTCATATATGAAAAAGTAACACTTCTTTTACTTTATTCAATTTAGATCCTCCCTTAATTTGGCAAACATACAAGGCCATAACTAAAGGGTGTTGACGTCATGGAAATCTTCCTGACTTATTTCAAGATGGCATCTTAAAGTCTGAATAGGTTATCTGTTGTTTATACTAAGTCGTAAGTGTACAGTCGCGGGAGATTCCCGGATTTGGGGAAGTTCCATTAACTTGGGGTTACCACAGTATATTGTGTACTGCAAGAGTTGTAATATAGCCTTGAAGCTTGTTCATGCATTATTGTTATTGTAATTCGTCTGGGACAAAATGGCGCAAACATATTATGCACTGAGGTTATTGCTTAAAGAAACCGTTATGAAAAACAATATGTTCCATTTCTAACACCTTGTCAGTTTGCAATATCTCTTAAAGACAAAGTACACAGTTTAAGAAATACAACATTTCATTCTAAAACTTGTAATATTTGTATTTGCCCATAACACCCTCTCCATTAAACTGTGGGCATTTTAGAGCATTTCTTCCTTAAATTAGTAAAGCAAAGTTCTCCAACAGTCTTTTGTTTTTTTGTGCTCGCAGCATCTTTGATCATTGTTGTAACAGTAAAATATCCGTAGTGCGATATTTGCATGTAAAAGTGGTTGATTAAAATGAGCAAAGCTTTTGTCTGGGAAAGAATTGAAAAGAACACCAGGTTCCAGAGTAAGATATACTTGGATGGATCCGGATACGAATTGTAATCCAAAATTAAAAATAGTAATTGTATTTGTAATCCAAAGTCTTTAAAGGCCTGTAGAAGTTTACATTCCTTAGATACATTGCTGGAGGTTGTGTTTGTAGAATACCAGGGTATTTGTTGTAGAGTATAGGTTGTAGAGTCCAGCTTTCCAAATATTTGGCTAGAATTGGTTGCAGATATTGAATCAGCATCATCTGTTATCACCGTGGTGATGGCGTTGGTATTTGTCTTTGCTTGTTTGCTTTTTATTTTTCCCATGAAACATTTTTACACCGTTTATGATGTGTATAGATTGGATACTCTCCGACATTCTTTTACGGAATAGATTAATTGACAGCATTTCCAAGACATTGTCTTAAGTGACATGGATCCCATTATAGTAAATGTTATGTTGATACAGCAATCGAAGTGGATTCTCAGGAACGCCTCTTTTTGCTGTATTGGAATCTTTGTAACATCTCAGTGATAGACATCTCAATGACATCAGGTGCTGTTGTGCTAAAAATGTTAACAGGTAAAATCTGTGGAAAATTCTTTACGTTTGTTATTCTTTATATAATAATGATAGATGAAATAGTAACATAGTTAATCTTTCTAGTGTTTTGTTTTAAAGATAAACACCCTTGTATATGATTTAGCTATATAAGGATAATTTGAAGCAGCAAAGTATTTACCGCCTTTGTTCACAATGGTATGTAAAATTACATTCTCTTTAAATGTTAAAAATACTCCTTTATTCAAAATCTCTCAATATATTTAGAATAGTTGCTAATTGGAAATATGACATTAATTACCTTTCTTTGACCTGTTGGGGAGAAGACAACTTCCCTAGTTATTAGCTTAAAATACCAGAAACACCCCAAAAATTGTCTTAGAAAACATTTTTTTTTTTTCTATTAACCAAGATCTGACGGCCATTGTGGAAAGTTACGTTCGTGAGATTGGATGCTTAACAATGTGAATCTTAATTGTTTAAGTATATTTTTCAGTGGCTGTTGGGTGTAGCTTAAGATGATTATAATTTTTATTATTATTTCTAAAAGTGAGTTAAGAAAGCACTCAGATACAATATTGAAGGTATTTATATTTTAACTCTACCTTTGTATAAGTGGTTTTATGTACCTTTAACCATCACAAACCAAATAAAATTTTCTTGGTATTTGAAAAACTGATAAAATATTTGATTACGTGTATTTTAATATATATACATAGAGTGGTATGGATGTTGAATTTATATCTTTGACATCTTTTCACCAGTTTGCAATAGGTGACCTAAATGATCAATTTCCAAAATAATCATGTATATCACCTGGACGGGTTAATCCCTAATACTCTTTTACTTTCCATTGACTGGCCTTAGCTCTGGCAGACTGAATATGTTTATCATTATAAATAAACTTTATGATAGTTGAAGTAAAGTTTCTGCCTGTCTTTCAGTTAAATTTTAACTGTTGAAGTATTTCACTTATATTAATTATACCACTCTGCAAACTTAAACGAATATCGAGTAGTTTCTGTTTTAATAAAAACATTTTATATTTTCTTCTAAAGTTTAAACCTTATTCATTATTGCAGTTGTTATTGCAATCATATGATCTTTAACTATCATGTTTCAATTATTTATCTGGGTAATTAGCTGTTATGCTCTTATACTTTATGTCTAATATATTTGTTTGTAGGCCAGACTGCAGCTGCATATGGCATTTTAGCAATAATCTTCAATTGCGTTTCAGATATTCACAAAGTCTATCCACCTTTGTAATTAACACATTATGTGTTTCTTATACCATTAATTATAGAATCTGTATTATATTACACATTGTCACTGACACATTTCTGATACAGGGAAAAAAATAGCATGATTGCTTTAGTAATTATAATTTTTCTGTCCATGCACCACTTTTTCTGAGTTGTAGGCAACAATCTGTGTCTTGTACTGTGAGGTGCTTTGATAGTCAATCTGGTTTTCTCAGTACCATGTTCCATCTTAAGAAACAGCTGGGTGTTGACAGTTATCAGCCTTTATTTCTTTTTCCTGTCATCTTCTGTCTGGAAACATAATAGCAATGTCCAGAATTAGCATAGCACTTCTTTTCAGCATAAGAAGGCTGTTTGCGGTAGTCATTCAATGATAAACTATATGGCAAAGTATTTTCTTAATCACCTTCATAGGTGCATCCAAAGTCTTTCATAAGCATCTTTCCCTTCTTTTTCTGTTTTCAGCATGCTTTGCCATCATCGTTGATTCCATTATTAGGATTTGTAATTGTCCAATCACATCTTTCTCAGGTATAATCGTTTTTTTGGAATGATCTCAATAGGTTCCTTGTGAAATACCAGTGTAGGTCACATTAGCAATCATTTCACTGTGAGCTGTGTCTCTCCTTTTGAGATGCTTCTTGGAGGTAGTCCTCATGATCAAAGAACTTGTATAGTGTGCAGTCCAATTCATTTCAGGTGCTTCCTGCTTGTTAACATAATTCCAATGCAGTTTTAAAACAACAGCTAGGGTTGATGTTATGATAATGCTGCAGACTATAAGAAGGAGACACCATAACCAATTTTCTAGCATCCTTTTGCTTCCATCTTTGCATTTCTTTCTTACTGTATAAGATAATTCAGGTTCAGTCTGTTTTCTCCAGAGTCTTTCTTATAATGATGTTGATGATTAATTTTTCGTACATTCTATATTAACTGTGAATGTATCACGTCTGTCTGTTCATCCTTCTCCTTCACATTTGCAGGTTCAGATGTCAGATCATGATTCAGTCTGTTACGTGGCTATGATTCTGGTGGCTTTTCTGTCGTCCTCTGTTTGTTTTATCTTGCCATCTTTAACAGCATCCATTGTATCAGTCAGTGGTTCTGTGAACGTCCTGTTAGTATTTAGCAGGTTGTAAAATTTCAAAACTGTTCTCTGTTGGCTCTGATTGTTCTCTGTAGTATAAGTTCTCGGAGTCACCCTCTCCAGGGCAAACTGGCCAACAGTAGGAAAAAGTTGGTGGTGCAAGGCGAGGTGGGCTGAAAAAAAAATTCCCTAAATTTCTCTAATAGAACCAATGGTTCTAAGCTCTCCCTGGTGCAGAAATATATTTGTCAGTGAAAAACATGTAACATTTCATATGGTGTCTCACCATTTGTATCATCAGGTATGTTGTGAATGTTCATCTGTACCATAGGAATAAATAGATACCACTGTGTGGGGCAAG